AAAAAAAAAAAAAAAAAAAAAAGGGAAATAGTAATTTCCTATATAGATATTGATATCCTGATGACTTATTATGTGCTGGGAGAATCTGCCCTCAGGGCTTAAATTTCATATGAGGAGATAAGGCAGAGATGGCATGCATACATGAAAGAGTGAAAACTAACAAACAGGAAAACCCAAACAGAACAGCACTAGGCAATCTGAGATTTACTGTATGTGCCACGGGAGTTCAAAAGAGGGTCACCAGGCTGGCAGCCCAGGCCTTCCTGGGAGGAGCAGTGCTTTATGTGGGCTCTGAAGCAGTGGTTTTCAACTTTTTTTTTTTTTTTTTTGCTTACCTACCCTCTACGTGAACTTTGGGAAGAAAAATATCTCTTCTGCTTCACACATTTTAAGTTGACATCTAAAATGTCTCATTCTTTAATTTGTGCTAAATAAAATAAAATAAAATATTTTATTCTAAGTTCGATTAGTTACAAAGGATATAATTTTGGCCGTGTTTTAAATATTCACATTTTAGGGTAACATTATACCATACCACTGTCTTAAATCTGTATCAAAATGTTGTGGGGAGGGATGGGCGGGGGGACTTACCTCTTTGGTCCCAGCTATTTAGAAGGCCAAGGCAGGAGGATTGCTTGAGCCCAAGAGTTGAAGACCAGACTGGGTAACATAGAGACCCCGTCTCTACAAAAAAATTTTAAAAATGTATCAAATAGAAACTAACATAGCAATTTTTAATTTTGTCTTTTTATTGAAGCCTCACTTTCATGTAGTAGAATGCACAGATCTTAAGTGAGCAGCTCAATTAATTTTTATCAATGTCCCTACCACCCACACCAAGGTGTAGAACATCTCCAGTATTCAGAAGGCATGCTCATTCCCTCTCTCCGTCAATACCCGTCAAACATGACCACTTCTCTGACCTCTATCACTATAAACTAGTTTTGCACAACCTCATTGGTTCTGGCTTCTTTCAATAAACACAAGGTCTGTGGGTTTCAAACATGTTGCTGTGAGGAGCAGTAGCATTCCTTTTTCATTATTGTATATTATTCCACTCAATGAATAGCTCATATCCAAAAAAATCCATTCTATTCTTACTAGACATTTAGGGTCATTTCTAATATTTGGCTATAAAGATACTCTAAGTATTCTTGTATATATTTTTTGGTGATCATAAGCACTGATTTCTTTCGTGTATGTCTCCATGAGTGAAATTTCCTGGTCATAGGATAAATACCATAATACATTGGTTTCTACAATCATCCATCAAAGTTACCTGAACAAGTCAAATGTTTTACACTGCTCCTTTCTTTACCTTTCTGAACTCCTAATTCCCCTTCACTTGCTTCATAACGTTTAATCTTAACATATTTTATGCTTGAAAGTTTTAAGATTATCATCTTCTTTAAAACTCTACTTATGTAAGCTGAAATGGGCATTTTAAATTTTTTCCTTTGAACTCTAAGATTCTTCCTTTTATAATGATTATGTATCATTATGTATCATTACAGTATCACTGTAATGTAATACACAATTTATCAAAATAACATTTTTATTTTACACATTTGATAAATCATTAAACAAAGCATAACTTTGTATGGGAAATGCTTCTCATAATGAGATGGGCGGGATGGTTGATGGCAGTGCTTATCAAACTTTAAGGTGCACAAGGGCCACCTGGGAGAGCTTGATAAAATGCAGATTTTTTATTTGGATGGTATGGGCTGGGGCCTGAGACTTTATTCCGAAATTTTTTTTTTTTTAGCTTTATTAAGGCATAATTGGAATGCCCCCTAAATGCGCACATTTAATTTATTCATCTTGATGAGTTTGGATGATTCTGTATTTCTTCTCCTTTCCCTTCCCTCCCCTCCCCTCGCCTCCCCTCCCCTCCCCTTCTTTCCCTTCCCCTCTCCTCCTCTGTTCTTTTCTTTTCTTCTCTTTTCTTCTTACAGGAGTTCACTCTAAGCATCGTGGTATGGTCATGGCTCACTGAAGCTTTGAACTCCTGGGCCCAAGCAATCCTCCCACCTTAGCCTCCCAAGTAGCTGTGATTAGAGGCATGTGCTACCATGCCCAGCTAATTTCTTTTTTACATTTTTAGTAGGCTGGGTGCAGTGGCTCACGTCTGTAATCCCAGCACTTTCTGAGGCTGAGGCGGGTGGATCACGAGGTCAAGAGATCAAGACCATCCTGGCCAACATAGTGAAACCTCGTCTCTACTAAAAATACAAAAAATTAGCTGGGCATGGTGGTGTGCACCTGTCATCCCAGCTACTCGAGAGACTGAGGCAGGGGGATCGCTTGAACGCAGGAGGCGGAGATTGCAGTGAGTGGAGATCGGGCCACTGCACTCCAGCCTGGCGACAGAGTGAGACTCCATCTCAAAACACAAAACAAAACAGACAAAAAAAATTTTACTAGGCATGAGGTCTTGTTATATTGCCTAGGCTTCTGTATTTCTAACAAGCCCATTGATGATGCTGATGCTGCTGGTCCATGGATCACATTTTCATTTTTTTGAGACGGGGTCTTGCTTTGTTGTATAGGCTGCAGTGCAGTGGCACAATCATAGTGCACTGCAGCCTGGACCTCCTGGGCTCAGGCAATCCTTCTGCCTCAGCCTCCTGAGTGGCTGGGAACACAAGCCCATGCCACTACACCTGGTTAATTTAAAACAGTTTTTTTTAAAGTTTTTATAGAGACAAGGTCTCCTTCTGTTGCCCAGGCTAGTCTTGAGCTCCTGACCTCAAGTGATTCTACTGCCTCAGCCTCTCAAAGTGCTGTGATTACAGGTGTGAGTCTCATGGACCACACTTTGAGTAGCAAGGGTTTATGATCCCTTGATTAAAGGAAGATTTGCAAATACCAACTTTTAAAAAATACTTTATATTATTTGAAGAGAATATAACTTTGTACATTTATTTATTTATGTATAAATTTATGGAGTACAAGTGTAATTTTGTTACATGCATAGATTGTGTGGTGGTGAAGCCAGGGTTTTTCGGGTACCCATGACACAAATAATGTACGTTGCACCCATTAAGTAATTTCCCATTATCCACCTCCCTCCCACCCCCTCACCCTTCCGAGTCTCTGTTGTCTACCATTCCACACTGTACATCCATGTGCACACATTATTTAGGTCCCGCTTATAACTGAGAACATGTGTAACGTGAACATTTTCTTTTCTTTCTTTCTCTCTCTCTTTCTTTCTTTCTTTCTTTCTTTCTTTCTTTCTTTCTTTCTTTCTTTTTGAGACAAGGTCTCACTCTGTCACCCAGGCTGGAGTGCAGTGGCACGGTCTCGGCTCACTGCAACCTCCGCCTCCTGGGTTCAAGTGATTCTCCTGCCTCAGCCTCCAGAGTAGCTTGGACTACAGGCGCCCGCCACCACGCCCAGCTGATTTTTTGTGTTTTTAGTAGAGACGGGGTTTCACTGTGTTAGCCAGGATGGTCTCGATCTCCTGACCTCGTGATCCACCTGCCTCAGCCTCCCAAAGTGCTGGGATTACAGGCATAAGCCACCACGCCTGGCCAACGTGAATATTTTAAATGGTGTGTTTTTCCTTTTGGCATCCAGATGTCTCGACATTTTGGGACACTGCATCATAGATTCTGGACGAGTGAGCAGTTGCTCTTTTTCCTGTAAAGAGAGAACAGGACCATTGTGAAGAGGGGAGGTAGGAAAGGAGAGGGGTTGTGCATCTAGACTGAGGCACGTTGTCAGGGTGTGGGAATGGATGTGGAGGATCTCAGGTTGACTCCCTTCTACCTCAGCTTGCATACCCTGTGGGGTGTCTTTGTGTACCCCAGAGTAGTTCTGCCTCAGTTTTGAGTCCAGTTCTCTGAAGGATGCTGAAATGACGCTGGCCACCATTTCAGATGGGGCACACATTTAGGCAGGTGAGATCTGATATTCCAAGGAATGGCTTGAATGGTTTGGAGAGTCCACTGGGGTAAAGTCCTGAGAAATGAAATTTGGGACTGCGTGGTGGATGGTCTTGAATTCCATGCTGAGGAGTTGGATTAATACTCCGGCAGAGGGGAGCCGTGGGGTATTTTTGAGCAGGTTGCTGGTATGTGCAGAGTGCTTTGCAGGCTGATGTGTTGAGCAGCCCTTGGAATGGCCTGGAAAGAATCGATGCCTGGGGGCAGTGGCGGTGATAACCCCACAGGCTTGAAGATGAAAATGTCTGTGGTTACTGGCATTCAGCTGTGATTTTTAACTCCAGCTTCCAGCTTTTGAATTGTTGCCCTGGTTGCATAGACCTGGTTTGAGCAATCAGTATTTTCTGAAGTGTGGGATCTGAGAGGTTCATACATGGAATTCAAGGTGATATAAAGCAGGACACAGACATGGCCTTAAATAACACTGAAACCCAAGAGGGAAGAGCATGCCCTTCTCAGCCCTCTCTTAGTCTTGACTACACGTGGAGAAAGTCACACTGCCATTTTCCTTTGGTTGATAAAGAGCCAGCAGCTTAGGCTTAGAGCCTTTGGTAAACAATTGTCTCTAGATACAATTTTACAATATTTTTGTTTTCATTGAATTATTTCCTATGTCCCAGGCTGTAAGGGGTCTGAGTGTTTCACTTTATTTATTTTTATTTATAGTGTTTTATTTATTGTATTGATAGAAACCTTTGCATTTTAAACAAGATCATCTCTGTAGGAAAGTTGAGTCAATTTACTAGATCATGTGGAAGAAATAAGAATGCTTGGGGCATGTGAATATGGCAAAAATCATGGTGGTGACATGCAATGATTCAAGTTTTGGAAACATTTGGTTAGACCAATGGCAAAAACGAGCAAGAGTGGAATCTTTGTGCCAATGCTCTGCCAAGCAAAGTCTGGGCTCTGGCTGGGCTCAGAGAGGCTCTGGGTGGTGATAGGAGGGAGTTGCCTGAATTGCAGGGCCCTGGCCAGCAAAAGAGCAGGCCCCAGTGCCCCCGTCCCCACCACCAGTCTCATGCTCCCACCCTTGTGTGCCCGCAGAGATCCGCACGCAACTGGTGGAGCAGTTCAAATGTCTGGAGCAGCAATCAGAGTCGCGACTGCAGCTGCTTCAAGACCTCCAGGAGTTTTTCCGCCGGAAAGCTGAGATTGAGCTCGAGTACTCCCGCAGCCTGGAGAAGCTGGCCGAGCGCTTCTCCTCCAAAATCCGCAGCTCCCGGGAGCACCAGTTCAAGTAAGAAGTTGGGTGTGGGTGCACAGAGATGGGAGGCAGCACTGGAGTGGGCGGACAGTTGGTGGCAAAGCAGAAAGGAGGCTGGCCTCGTTGGAGGCAGAGGGCGTGCCTTCAGGGCCCTGTGTCTGCAGGTTACTTATACCTCTAAGCCTCAGTCTTCCTCATGTGTAAAGGCAAGCTAGAAAGAGTTTCTCTGCAGAAGTTTCCTGAAGGGAATAAACGAGCAACCCAAGAAGAGTGTTTGTCACAGACAATAGGTGCTCGATCAATTGTTGTTGCTGTTATTATTATCCTACCAAGCACCGGCACTGAGCTAGCCTCCATTTGTGCCCTGATGAGACCCCTACCTCCCTTCAGGACATCCTGTCCCTATCCAGTTGTCCTTTATTTGGGTGTCAGCCAGCCTTCGTCTGAATTTCTTTAGCACAGTGCATTTCTTCTCCATGGAACTGATGCTCTAACATTCCTCTTCCTTGCTGCCCTGGAGGACCTCAGTGCCCTGGCTCTTTCCCTGCCTTATTTACTTATTTTCGATGCACAAACTGTCATGTGTCCTGATTTCTCATACCCCAAGCTCTGAGATCATGGAGGCCCCATCTGCTTGGGCACTGACTTGGCAGGCCCTGAATCCTCCAGCTACAAAACCTTCTGTGCTTAGAACTCCCTGGCTTCAGCTCATTAAATACAGGCAGGCAGGAAGCAGCAAGTCTCACTTGGACTGTGTCAACCATGAAGGGCTCCACTCAGCAGGCCCCCAGCCAGCACTGTCTCTCCTTCAGCCATGCTTCCTGGACTCTCCCTTCTCCTTGGGTCATCTCTCCAGCCAGAGGCCCTCAACACCAGGAGATCAGCGACTTGCTTCATCTCACCTGACCTGATCCTTATCCCCCTTCCCCTGGGTCCTGTCCTGTTTCTCTCTCTCTCTTTCTCTGTGTGTGTGTATGTGTATGTATACACACACATATATATATACACACACACACACACATATATATATTTTATTTGTTTTTTGGAGACAGAGTCTCACTCTGTCACCCAGGTTGGAGTGCAGTGGCATGATCTCAGCTCACTGCAATCTCTACCTCCTGGGTTCAAGAGATTCTCCTGCCTCAGCCTCCTGAGTAGCTGAGATTACACGTGCACCACCAAGCCCAACTAATCTTTGTATTTTTAGTAGAGATGGGGTTTCACCATGTTGGCCAGGCTGGTCTTGAACTCCTGACCTCAAGTGATCCACCTGCTTCAGCCTCCCAGAGTGCTGGGATTACAGACGTGAGCCACCACCCCTGGCCTCTTCATATATATATATGTGTGTGTGTGTGCGTGTATGTGTATATATATATGTGTGTGTGTGTATATATATATAGTGACAAAGCACACATAATATAAAATTTACCATTTTCATCATTTTTAAATGAACAGTTTAGTGGCACTAAGCACATTCACATTGTTGTGCAACCTTCACCACCATCCAACTCCAGTGCTTTTTACATCGTCCTCTACTGAAATTCTATCCGCTTTAAACAGTAACTCCCCATTCCCTGCCACGCCTTCCAGCTGCTGGCAATCACCATTCTACTTTGTGTCTTTGTGAATTCGACTGCTGTAGATATCTCATATTAGTGCAATTATACAATATTTGTCTCTTTGTGACTGGCTAATTTCACTTAGCATAATGTCTTCAAGGTTCATCCCTGCGGTAGCATGGGTCAGAATGTTCTTCCTTTTTAAGGCTGAGTAATATGGTGCAGATAGACTACATTTTGTTTGTCCAGTCATCTGTTGGTGGACACTTGGGTTGCGTCCACCTTCCTGTCCACATGTTTTGCATTCCACGCTGGCCAGGGAGCTCTCTTCCTTTAAACTCCCCTAAACACCTCCTTGAGTCCGTGCCACAGCATTTGAACACTCACTTATGTGCCTTCTTTTGGCATTTGGGGATAAGAAATTGGTGTATGATACATTTGCAAATACCGTGCTTCTTTTTCTACCTGATCTTCTCTTTTTGTTTGTTTTTTTTGAGATGGAGTCTCGCTCTGCCGCCCAGGCTGGAGTGCAGTGGTATGATCTCGGCTCACTGCGAGCTCCGCCTCCCGGGTTCAAGCGATTCTTCTGCCTCAGCTGGGACTACAGGTGCCTGTCACCACACCGAGCTAATTTTTTGTATTTTTAGCAGAGACAAGGTGTCACCGTGTTAGCCAGGATGGTCTCCATCTCTTGACCTCGTCATCCGCCCACCTTGGCCTCCCAAAGTGCTGGGGTTAAAGGCGTGAGCCATCATGCTCGGCCACCCAATCTCTTCTATTCAAACTTTTGCTGCAGGAGGAAGCCTCTATTAATAACATTTACCCAGGCACAGTCTAGACCCTTTCATACACATAATCTCATTTTTTAAAATATATTTTTTGGAGAAAATTTGTGTTTTTTCAAACAACAAAGGTAAAATGCTTATTGTATACAATTTAGAAAGTACAGAAAAGAGAAAAATATCATTCATAGTCCCACTGCTCACAACCACTGCTCACATTTTGGAATCATTTCTCCCTTGTCTTTTAAGAATAAAACAAAGGTAATGTATTGAACTGAGCACTTACTTTGGTGCCAGGTGGGTATTACTGCCCCATCGTAAAGATGAGGATGGTGAAGTTCTGAGAAAGCAGCTTGTCCAAACATGTCTATGAACCCACAATTGGAAAGAGACAGAATTGAACCTTCAACTCTTATTCTGCCTCCTTGGCCTGCGATAAGAAAGGGCCTAGGTGTAGTTTGAGAGTAGCCATGACATCTGGATCCTCCCTGGAACCACAGGCACAGCAGGCACAGGCTCATAAACCCACAACTCTGGCTGAACGGCCACTGGAGCCACCGTATCTTGGGCTTTCCCCAGCTGCAGACAGGGCTGTGTGGTAGGGCTGGAGTGTCTCTCCTGTCTGCTCCTTCCCCTTGATTAGGAGTCAGCTCTCTTCCCATTCTCAGTGTGCACATGGGAAGAGGAGAAAGGCAGGGATTGCGGATATGTGGGGGGGGCACCCTATTCCCTTGTATCACCTATAATGAGCTCGGCCAGCCCCTCATGGGTTCATTAACTGAGGCCACCAGACGGAACGGGAGCCCCAGCTGGCAGCCGGGCCATGCAGGCTGCCTGACACACTATGAAAGTCTAATTAGGGTGCCGGCCCAGGCCAGTGCAGCTGGAGGGGGCCCTCTGCACGATGCTAATGTGATGGCAGAGCCATCTTCGCTTCTGGAAGTGGAGAGTCTCTAGGGGCAGGCTGGACTCAACCTTTGACCTCAGGGCACTGACTGGCCTCAGGCTGCCTATTCCTTGGAGCCCAGCACACAGGGCCTGTGCTGCTCTCTGTTCCCTTCATCTGGGCTGTTCTGAGAAGTCTTGTCTCGCCATGGTAAAGATTCTTGGTTTAATAATGTCCGTCTACCTGCCAAGTAGCCCCTCAGTGCTTTGAGTGCAGAGCCCAGGACTTGTCATTTTATTCCCACTGCGGTGGGTCTGGTGCTTGGCAGAGCTGGGGGGTGTGTGCATGGGTGGCAGGGAGGAAGGTGGGAAGAAGACAGAAAGGAAGGAAGGGAGAGGATTGGTCTGGTCTATCCAGTCCACTTTGGCTGAGAGATTTGCCTCAGAGATGGAACTGATTTGCCCAAGATTTTATAGCAAATTAGGAACAGAACTGGGATAGGAACTCAGGTCCTTTGGCTCCAAGTCTGTTGCTCCTCCTTGTGCTCCATGGGCCGTGTCTCCCTAAGGCCCCAGCCATTCCCTCCCTACCTGGGCAGTTGAAGAATGTGCTGCTGCCCAGGAACACGCACTGTGCTGTGTTCAGGGCTAGATTCACCTGGGCTGAGTTCCATGTGGCACGTGATCCAAAGAAAGGCCCACATGATGGCTCTGAAGGTTTCCCTGGGACAGGTTAACATTTAGAGAAAAATATCATCATATTTCTTTTCTACAACACATATTCCAATTCTAACAAACCTCTTTCAAAGCACTCTGACATCCTTGCTCTCTTAAAAACCTGATAACAACCCAGGGAAGTAGAGAGGGAATCAATGGTTTTATGTCAAGCAAACTGAGCAACAGAAAAGCTGAGCCGCTTATTTTAACAAGGACGCTGAGCTGTCGAGCATGAAAACCCAGTGTTCTTGACTCCCAACTCAGGCTTCTCTCTCCAAGAAGCCATGTGGGACTTCATTTGTTTGAAATGTGTGCATTGAGGACCTCATATTTTCCTGGACTGTGCTCAGTGCTGAAGACGCAAAGATAAATGAGGTGTTATTTCTGCTGCCAGATACTGAGAGACAGGAACACGGCTTGGGGAGGCCTGGTAGTTGGTATGGCTGGGGAGGCCCCAATCCCATGACTGTGCCCTTTGAGCCCTGCACCTGCGTGCCATCAGCCCGCAGCACTGAGATGTCACTTCTGCTGAAAAGCTTCCTTGATTCCCACCTGGTGCCTCCCTCTGTGTGCCCATCGTACTCTGATGTACTTATTTGCTTATTCCACCAATATTTATTGAGCACCCACCATGTGCCACACCCTGGGTTTACCGTGGTGAACAAGATAGACTTGGTTCCTGCTGTGGTGAAATTTACCATGAAGAATAAAACATTAAAAAACAGCTAAAAGAAAGACCAGCTATAATCCAATGATTGCTATGATGGAAATAAATACACTATGGAGTATTCTGGTTCTCTCTCTTGTATAACTGCAATGCCCCCCAAATTAGTGTACCTTGTGATTTAATGGATCAAAGATTTGGACAGGGCTCAGCTGGGTGATTTTTCTGTTGTATGTGGCATTGATGGCTCAGTGATATTCAGCTAGCAGAGGACCTGGTCTGGATGGTCCCAGAGAGCTTTACTTGCATGCCTGGTTCCTCCATGGGGACGGCTAGTAGGCGTGGCCCTGCTGGGCTGCCTCCCTTTCCATGTAGTGTCAGGGCCTCCTGCTTCAGCCAGGCATCAGACTTCTGACATAGTAGCTT